CTCCGGCCCTATGGGTGCATTACGACGAATCCACCACAGCTTGTGTCAGAATTGATAGATCCAACTTCAGCAAGCTGTATTAAGCAAAGGGTGAACGAGGTCTTCATGCCAATGGACGCAAATATCATATTGGGCATTCCTCTCTGTACTCGCAACATAGATGATTTCTGGTCATGGAACTTTGAGACCAAAGGCACTTTTTCAGTTAATTCAGCGTACAGAATGCTTTCAGAAACTAAACAGCATCATGAGGCATGGCTGAATGGCGAACCAGGAACGTCATCGTTGCAGTCCGAGGAAAGGATGTGGAAAAAAACTGTGGAAAACTGAAGTTCCTGGTAAAGTCCGGATGTTTCTTTGGAGATTGTCAAAACACTCCCTCCCTACTGAGGATGTGCGAGCCCACCGCCATATGACGACGTCTAGCAGCTGCGGGCTTTGTGGGATGCCGGATTCATGGAAACATTTGTTGATTCAATGCACAATGTCCAGATGTGTGTGGGCATTGGTGGATGAGGAACTTGCACATAAAATGATGGCGTTGATAGAGCCTAAAGCGAAGCAATGGCTGTTTGCACTCATCGAGTCCCTCACACATGATGAGTTTGTCCTCCTGTCGATTACATTGTGGTCAATCTGGCACGCGAGGCACAAGGCGATCCACGAGGGGATTTTTCAGAGCCCTCAAGCAACACAGACTTTCATCAATAGATACCATGATGAGCTTAATATGATCCACCCGACAGTAAAACAGACAAGTGCACCCACTGCTCCATCGGGACCGCAATGACCCAAGGCACCTCCGGTGGGCTTTGCAAAAATACATGTTGACGCTGCAGTACGACCAGGGAGAGGTGGGTCAGCAGCAGCAGTCTGCGGGGATTCAAACGGAAATTACCTAGGGAGTTCAGCCCTAGTGGTGGAAGGAGTGGATGATCCGGCTTCTCTGGAAGCTTTGGCATGCAGGGAGGCAATGTGTTTGGCTGAAGATCTCCTTATCAACAACTACATCGTGGCCTCTGATTGCAAGCAAGTTGTCTCTGATATAAACTCGGGTAGTAGAGGGCAATACGGTGCCATTCTGTCCGAGATTAATCTTCGAGCTACCCTTTTCCAATGCATTTTTTCTTTTGAGTGTCATGCTGTAAATTATGAAGCACATAGTCTAGCCAGATTCTCTCTTAGAAGGGGACCGGGGCGCCATTTGTGGCTTGGCCAACCCCATGACCCATCTTGTATCCCACTCTATGTGGACTTTGATTAATAAAGCTGGCTTAATCCTCAAAAAAACCAAAAGGCGATGCGGATACAGAGAAGAGGGAGATATCGATCCAAGGCGATGTGAGGCGCCGGATTCAATCGACCGGAGTTGGAGGCACGCGCTGGGATCGATCGGAGGCACCCACCACCCATCGCCGGGACGTTGGCTTCTCCCTTCCCTCAGGCCCTCCCTGCACCCATCCACCCATCCACCCCCGGTGGCTCCAGGAGGGGCATCACAACCACAGGCACCGATGGCGGCATGCCATCCACACCGCGCTCGCGCACCACCGGCGGCCCCTTCAGGTCCGAGCCTTACTAGCCGTCGTCGGCCAGGACGGGCCTCTCCTTCCACTGGTCCCAACATCTGCCGACACCAACCCCGTCGTCCAGCGTCGGGTGCCTAAGATCAGCACGCCTCCTCCCAATGTGAGTTTCTCTTGGAATTTTGTTTTCTGCTGGTTGTAGGATGAATGCGAATTGCGTTTGCCATAGATACATCTATTTTGTTCGTGTTTTGACAAGCAATTTTTAAATTCAGTAAATTGTCTTTTTTCACAAGAGGTGGATAAATAGGCTGATATATAAATACAAACAGTATAGTTCTAGAAATACTACTACTACTAATGAATGTTTAATATCATCTGCACAAGGTTGCTTCGTAGATCTTCTTTTTTAGAATCTTCACACATCTTTTTGGTCTAATGTATACTTGCAGGTTTATCTAGATGAAAAGAGTCTTTCAATATTAGGTTGATGCTTCAACTAAGCATGTCTCTTTTTCAATCTATAGCGGATATCATCTGACACTACTTTCCTACTAACAGGTATTTTCATATGGCCGAAAGAATCAGCTGCTAGAGATTTAAGAAACTATTCAACTGCGCAATTTTTGGTTACGCCTTTTTCAATTAGTTTTGAACTTTAAATCCCTGTTGAATGTATGTATATTAATTTTTAGTGCACAAAATTCAAGGGGTTGAACTTTTTCCCTTGCACTTCCTAGCGACCCAGACCAGCGCCATGCAACGAGCGTGTCCCCCTACCCCGACCTTCAACTTGAGCGGCAGATCCCACCACGACTTGGTGGCACCGCTGGTGGAACCGGCGTCCCTAAGCGAGCAATCGTCCAGATGGCCGTCACGTTTCCGCCCAGCAGGTTCTACTCCCTTCTCTCATATTCTCATCAGCTAATTCAACAGAAGAACGTTGCCTTCGTCCCAAATCAAGAATGATATTCTTTTGGATCTGAATCAAGATAGGTTATATTGATACCCCCTCCAGTGAATATTTATGTAAGAGAATTTTAGGTAGGAAGATTCATTCTCGGTAGAGGAGTAGAGGCATTGTTTCCACGGGGTGGTAGTGAGGTGTTGCAGAAGCTCCAACCATATCGCCTAACTGCTTTATTGGAATCTTAAATTCACTAAGTTCTTGAGCACCATGGCAAGGCAAAGGTGCTTCGTGTGCCCTGCATCTTCAAAAGAATCATCTGATGCAGTCTCCCAAAAAGTAGCATTATGTAAAAATCTGGTTCATCTGAGTATAATATGAAAACATACAAGATTCATTAGATGTGAAAAATGCTATGAGCAGAGATAACACACTAATCAACATTCTGCATTAGATTACTTAGTTGAGAGCTAGAACCTGAAGAAAAGTGAATTAAGCTAGAAACATAAAAATTAGGCACTCCCTGTAACTCCAATCCCAAGTAGCAGTCAGACATCTTGGCATTCGACTGTTGGAGATGATGAGCTTCAGAAGTGAGATGGTTCTGTTGAAGTAACGGTGCGTTTAGGTGGTCTGGCCGTTGACTGTTGCATCCACTGTGGGGTTGGCTGGTCCTGCACCTCTTTCAGCCATGGTGACTGGGCGACAACTGAAAATCCTTCTCAAATGTGAGCTCCATTTTAAAAAAGATTCCCTATTTTTTTGCATGCTTTTGGACTGTGTAAATGCTCTTGATATGGTTTATAGCTGCTACTACTCTTACCATCGTCCAATCAAGTTATCCATGTCAAATCAACCCCTATCGACTAGAAAATGAGTAGTGTCAAAGAGAAGGTTTGATTGTACTATTTATTTGCTCAGATTTGATTGTCTACTTTCTTTGGATGGAAAACTTCAACCTAAAAATAAACTGGTGGTCTATACAAACAACATATTAGTTTTCTATTGAGTGATGCCTCACTTTTTATTTGTCTCAGTAGATGAGAGTAACAAGTTGATGGTCATTCTCTACTCTGCATTTGTATTTTTTATGAGATTGATCCAAGAAAGAATGACATGTGTGCCACATGTATGGGTCAATTGATAAGTGAAAAAATGTTTTGATCTAGGAAATCTGAAACCGTAGGGTTGTATAGCAAGAAGTGTGGTCTCAAATTATTACTGTAGATTGTCTTATTTTGTAACGTATTTTGTTTGGTGAATATATATATTCCAAAATTTCCCACGTACTTTTTCTGCAGAGAGGAAGAAAGGAGCTGATTGCAGGGCACTAAAATATGTCTTCGCTGCCAAAGCTTTGTGATCGCTTACACAGTTACACACGTATATTATCCATGTAGTATGGGTTATCTGGGATCAATTACAACATGGCACTAGGATATTGTTCATAAAGGTGGCATAATTTGTCAATTTAATATACTTCCATCTCATTGTTGATTTACTCATGCTATTTTGATGACGATGACATCAATGCCAGTTCATGGCTATGCAAGGCATCAGTGCTTGATGATATAGTGATGTGTTACTCATTGGGGCCTTAATTTGCAGCAGAAGAAGATGCAATAAACTCTGAAAACTAGATTATTTTTGCTCATATGACACAAAGGCAATGGGAATTTTTTTGAGGGTGTCGATCATGCTTGCCTTCCCTTGAGCTCCAGCTATTCATGCTACTGCATATAATATCCATTGTAGCTATACAGATGTTCCCATCATTATGATATTAGGCATAATCTGGTGGACTACTCCCTTTGAAAGGGGCACAATATTGTTTTAGTTCTTATACCTTTATGTAATGTTGTGACAGAAATAAATTGTAAAGTTAAAAACAATGTTTACCTGAGTGTTTCTATTTATTTATTTTAAAACCTATTAAATTCTCCACTTTTTTGAATTTTATTAAATTCTCCACTTTGGTTACTACCCAATTATTATTAAGTTTATGCAATTTAATATTCATGTTTTGTAGCTTAGTTTTTTAAAATTCCTTTAATTCTATGGGCTATGAGTAAATTTATTAATATCTAATGGCACATATATTTATAAATACCTACCATTTTATTGTCAAAATAGATAGGCGCGGCAACGCGCGCCATCAATGATCTACTCTAAAAGAAAATCAGTACAGACCATTGCTAATCAACCTTGAGTGTATCTTTGAGAACAGAAGGGCATAATGTGTAGACTGCTAGACTTTCAAAGCTACCATCTCCATTATCTTTTTGTTGCCCGAGCTTTCGCTCGAAAGATGGAAAGAGATGAAGATTCAAGAAGCAGTTCAACACATGCCAGTGGTCGCTTCTCCAAACAGGGTAGCAGAAATCTAAAAAAACTTGGCACAACATGAAGGCACATTAAATGATGGCAAGATATTGCAGCAGTAGGAAATGTTTAGAGTAGGATCTTTAAGAAATAATAACAACGTTTTTTTGCGGGGGAAATAATAACAATGTTACTTACCATTTTTCTTATGGACGAGTCTTGGTAATGATTTTCTTTAAGGCACATTAAAGGCACACAAGCTTGGCAATGAGCATTTTTAAGAGAGAGGGGCATGTTCTTGTTATGTCCTCCAAGCCGTCAACCGCAACTATCTTCTTCAAATTAGCAGGAGTCTTGAGAAACTGAAAGCATACCTCCTTCAACCGCAACTATCTTCTTCAAATTAGCAGGAGTCTTGAGAAACTGAAAGCATACCTCCTTCAATACAGAACAGTTATGTTGCTCGGCTAGAGTAAGAATAGTCGTCACCGAGCCCACGTCTATGTGTTGGCACAACTTCTCTTCACAAAGTACTTTCAGCCTTTCAAGATCATATCTATCCGCCGCTTCAAGCAAGTGTTGTAGCCACAACACTTCTTGGTCTTCCCTTTCATCCTCCAACGTGTCTATCGCCATCTTAGGCAGTGAATCGGTGTAAATAAAGCTAAGCAATGCCTTAAACACATTTCCTTCCATGTCTTCTATATGGATGATGCCTCCTATTGTGCCCTCTTTCATGGGGCCAAATAGCTCTGCTCTGAAGACCGTAGACCGAGCTGCGAGCACGCACCGGTGGGCAACAAATGTGTCATCTCCAATCTTGAATGTCACATCAGCTTCCTCCTCAGACTGCAAGAGGTCGCTTATATGGTGTTGGATACAAGATGTCGGTACCTTAATGAAGAGATCGACGGTGGAGGCAATGGTAAGGTCACATCGGATGGTGAAACAATCATCATTTAGATGGTTTGATTTCTCAAGGGCGTCTCTTTTCGCGAAATTAGGGTAACCCCAACATCGATGGTTGTCGGAAAAGTTTGTTGGCTGGACTCCACGAATATGGGCTGAATCTTGCATCTGACGCTGGTCGACGAAACTAAATTCGTACAACACCTTAAACTCTGCAACATCTTCATCAAGAAGATGAAGATAAATGGATACATAGTCGGCGTTCTCTGAGGTACGGCCGTTAGGATAGTATCTGATGTCCCAACGATGACCTCCTACCATGAAAGGGAGAGAGTCGATCACCATGCCAGTAGGTGTAGTGGCTTTGGTACGTGAGTAGGCGGTATCCACAAGCAGGTGGTGCCCACTGGATGCGACGACGTTGACGGCGTGGCCGATGGCCTTGCCGCCGCAGACATGCCAGCAAATGACATGGCAGGCACGCAGAGCGCAAGTTCGTACAGGTCTCGTCTTCTCCTCGCGCGTCCGAGTTGCGGAAGCTCGATCGACGCTCCCGTACGATCGAGTCACCGGAGAAGAGAACACAACGCACGCCGTAGGACAAAATGAGTCCCGCTTTGGTACAACCCCCCACGTAAAACGTATAAAGGGTAATCTGGACTTTTCACATGGTATACCCACTTTGGACGTATGATAAGTTGTATGTATGATGTATGTACTCCTATTGGGCCGGCCCAAGAAGGTGGCCGCAGTAGCGGTCGCACCTAGGGCAGCGATATAATAATCACTAAAAAGGAATAAAGAGTGGCCTTGCCGCCGCAGACATGCCGGCAAATGACATGGCAGGCACGCAGAGCGCAAGTTCGTACAGGTCTCGTCTTCTCCTCGCGCGTCCGAGTTGCGGAAGCTCGATCGACGCTCCCGTACGATCGAGTCACCGGAGAAGAGAACACAACGCACGCCCTAGGACAAAATGAGTCCCGCTGCTCCCGTACGATCGAGTCACCGGAGAAGAGAACACAACGCACGCCCTAGGACAAAATGAGTCCCGCTTTGATACAACCCCCCACGTAAAACGTATAAAGGGTAATCTGGACTTTTCACATGGTATACCCACTTTGGACGTATGATAAGTTCTATGTATGATGTATGTACTCCTATTGGGCCGGCCCAAGAAGGTGGCCGCAGTAGCGGTCGCACCTAGGGCAGCGATATAATAATCGCTAAAAAGGAATAAAGAGTGACCTCACCACGATTCGAACTCTGCGCCTCTAGCTCAAAAAGTCCAGCTGCTAACCAGCTAAGCTGAGATGCCTTGTTGACAAATAAAGGGCGTGTCATTTTAAGAACTAACTACAATGGATAATCCGGGTAGTTTTTGGACTTTTTCATATTGTTCTTGGAAAATCGTAATTTTTTTAAATGAGTAATGTTTGAAAATCCAACAATTGTTTCAACAACTCTAACAAACTTTGAAACAATCATGTTTTTAGAATTTTATGACAGGAACCATTTTTTAAAATCCTAAACATTTTCTGAAAACACGCTGACATTTTTGGAATTTACAGAACAAAACTTGTTAACGGGAGTATTTTCGAAATTCTAAACAATTTTTTCAAAGCGTGAACATTTTTTGAAATTCCCAAAGATTTTTTGAGTTTTGAGAAAAAAATTCTAAATGGGAACATTGTGAATAGTTTTCACAAAAGAATAACCTTTTCTGAAATAGACAATTTTCGATGGATGGTGTTCGTGTAGGCCAAAATGGTCCGTATGAGAGCATGTTTTTTTTGCATCGTCAAATGACCCCAATAATTTTCCATGAACATATATAACCAATTCAAGACACCATGCCTACTTGTTTGAGTTTTCGAATTTTTCTGCATTTTCTGGAGTTTTCTCGGTGAAAAGCGACCAATAAATGGACGGAGGTGACGCAACTTGCATACGTGTCGAAAATCATTAAACCTGACATGAATGCCTATCATGTGCATGCCCACCCGATAGAAAAAGTTGGAGTCATTTCATGCATGTCCAAAAATAAACCATGTTTAACAGTTGTTCCGGCAGGCGAGAAGGGTCTGATGAGAGTACGGGGACATTTTGTGAAATTCCAGATCAATTTTTATTATTTATATTGAAAAAAACTTAAATGGCCAATTCAAGGCATCATGCCAAGTTGTTTGAATTTTTGACAATTCTTGCATATTCTAGAGTTTTCTTGTTGAAAAATGGCTGATAAATGGTCGGACGTGATGCAACTTGCATATTGTGTCGAAATTTGTTCAAACCTGGCATGGATCCCTACCATGGGCATGCTCACCTGCTGGCAAAACTTGGGGTCTTTTCATGCATGTCCGAAAATATACCATGTTCAATATGGAGGGTGTTCAGGTAGGCCACATGGGTCCGTATGAGAGTAATTTTTTTTGGCATCTTCAAATGATCCCAAATTTTATCCATGAGCTTATATGATCAATTCAAGGCACAAACCCAAGTTGTTTATGTTTTTGACAATTCCTGTATTCTCTGGAGTTTTCTCAGTGAAAATGATTGATAAATGGCTAGACATAACGCAACGTGCATACGGTGTCAGAATTCATTCAAACCAGACATGGATGGCTACCATTCGCATGCCCCTCTGCTAGTGCAAATTGGTGTTATCCCAAGAATGTCCAAAACTAGACCATGTTCAATGAAAGATGTCAGTGTGAGCCCAAAGAAAACGTGTCCAAAACTAGACCATGTTCAACGGAAGTTTTGGTGGCTCTTCATATTTCCTTAAAAGTGTTCAAAATGTTGTTCGAAAAAAATTCTTAACATTTTGAACTAACATATCTCCTTCAATTTTTCGAAATGTTCATGCTTTTAAAGAATGTTGTTCAATTTTTTTGAAAAATGTTCATGCTTTTATGCAAAATGATTTTTTTCAAAATCTGTTCAAGTTGTTCAAAAAATGTTGGATTTTGAAACATTATCCAATTTTTAAAAATTCATTTAGAATTTTTAACAAAAGTTCAAAAAATTGAAAAGGTGCATGGATTTTACGTTTTTGTATTCTACCTTGGTGTTACTCCCTCCATTCGGTTTATTGGGTCCGAGAGCCAGCAAAACTCGTACTACCAATCTACCATGTTTATTATTCTCAAAAAAAAATCTACCATGTTTACTAGGCTGCTGCATAGTTTCTAAAAAAAGGCTGTTGCATTTAGGCACGTCACTTTATTCCCTTGATTCCAGCGTCTCTCCATGGAAGCTAGCGCATGGTGCTCTTTGATTGGATCAGGCAGTAGGCATTGCATGTACGGTTAGTTAATAGGCCTAATTAATAGCGGCAATTAGCTAAGAGATCTATTTTCAATTTCTCTGCCTGTGTGATTTTTTTGGTCTTCCAGTTTCTGCTGAATTCTTAAGACTGTACGCTCCTGTTTATTCAAAAGCACTAGTTAGCTCCATTGGTGAGCTACTCAATTTTGTGTACAAGAGGTGCGTGGTTCGATTCTTAGCGGGTGCAGGCACTTATTTTCTGACTTTTTACATCTCCCGTCGCGCTCCCTACAGCCGTCACCAAATGGGCCGGCCCAGTAAAGGGTGCCTCACAGCGTATATGTTCAGGACTATTTTTTTTTTATTTTTCTTTTTGGAAAAAGGGACTTGCCCCAGCCTCTGCATCAGAAAGATGCATACGGCTCATATTATTAAAAGGATAAACCAGTAGCATAGTACCGAAAGGTCATAGTAGAAACTATAACAAAATCTGTAAATAAGAAAAGCCCAAAGCCACAACCAGCTGGCAAAACAATAGGATCAATACATGTCTATCCTATTACATGACCGTCATCCAAACCGGTTGAAAAATGTATGTGTTCAGGATGTATTTTAAAGAAAGACAATCCTATCCTTTACTATGAAGGGGTATCAAGAAATCTCGTGCGTTGATGTGTTTAGAGGATTGTACCGAAGCAGAAGCGGGACAAAATTTGCTACAGTTCTGCCAAAGTAGCCAGAGTTTCCTGTTTCCTTATTTTTATGTGCCTCGCTGTTCCCTCGATGGTATGTACGTACAACGTACTCTATGGCGCGCGAACATGCAACACCAGAACGCACCCGGGCTCTAACCTGAGGGAGACGGACAAAGGAACCCGCGCAGTGTATCAGACGTATACAAACAAGAAACAACTTTAGACTCTCGAGATGAAGACACGGACACGTCTGGTTATTTGGAACATCATTGCTCGTTGGTTTTGGAGTACGTTTACGCGGCTGCATGCGTTTGGGAAGCAAAAGCTGTGGCTTTATGGTCCCGGTCTCTCGAGGGCTGGAACATAGATAAGGATGGCAATTTTACCCATGGGTATGGGTACCCACGGGTATTGTATCCGCATGGGCAGGGTATGGATACAATTTTATACCCACGGATAGTACCCATATCCTACCCATTAAGTCATGGGTAGGGTACGGGCATAGCCTTTTACCCATGGATATACCCATACCCTACCCATTTATGACATGTGAACCTTACCTGTGATTCACAATTGTATCTATGTTAATGTTATGTCATGAGCTTGTGAACATATGTTAAAGTTTTTACCAATTGTTAATTTGATTTGAGATAATTATCATGTACTAATCTATCTGTTATTGAGTTGAGATCAATATTATTTTAGTCAAATGTGCTATAGATGAATGTAAAATTACGAATTAGTTGTGTACTATTTGATCTACTCGTTGGGTACCCAATGGTTATGGGTACCCATCGGGAATGGATACAAGTAAAGTTTCATACCCATGGGTATGGGTATGAGTAGAATATTATACCCATTGACTACACGGGTATGGGTATGGTATTGCTCTACCCGCCCCATATACCCTACCCATTGCCATCCTTAAACATAGATGACCAGTAACATGAACATAGTTTGATCGGTCGCGCCTGGTGCAAGATACTAATCCATTTTTTTTTCTTGTGTATGTAAATAACCGAATATCATAAAATTGTCAAGCCAGTGGAACATATAAGTCCATCCGATTGCCAAGCTGATAAGACCGTAATAAAATTACATAAAATTGACTGCATGTTCTGAAATTGGGACAAATACTAGTATGAACCATCACTAATAATTCTTAAGCAAAGCAAGTTTGACAATGATATAGTATTGGAGAACAGAATGGCGTCATGTAGCTAGACAGTCCAAGCTGGCCTCCAGCGCAACAAACTTTTTTCTACCTCAGCTGCCGCGCCTGAAGAAAAGAAAAGAAAGATGGTTGATGTCGTAGAAATGACAGTGTAAAACATTATCTCTAAGAAACGGGAATCAAGGAAAGATGCACACAATACATCCAACTAAAATGTCTCTATAACACATCATGAAGGCATATCAAATGCTGTCAACAAAGTCATACTGCAAACAAGAAACCATAGTTTTAAATAGCGGGCTATGCCTCTTAGCATCGGACCTCTTCAAAACACTATAACATGCTATAGCGGATTATTTAAAATGTTTGTTCATGTGTTTAGACTAGGATCCATTGACGGAGGACCCCTTCTAAAACATACTGTCTTTGGAAAATATACAGGAAAAACTAACCATGTGTGTGTGATGATATTAGGAAACAAGCTTGGCAATGAGCTCTTTTAGAAGAGAGGGGCAGGTTCTAGTTATGTCGTCCAATCCGTCCACGGCTATTATCTCTTTCAAATTAGTGGTAGTTTTGAGAAACTCAAAGCATACCCCTTTCAATCCACAACAATTGAGCTGCTCGGCTTGAGTAAGAATAGTTGTCACAGAGCTCACATTTATTTGTTCACACAACCTCTCTTCACATAGTGCTTTCAGCCTTTGGAGATCATATCTATCCGCCGCTGCAAGCAAATGTTGCAGCCACAATGTTTCTTGGGCTTTTCCTTCATCTATTGTGTTCATCTCCATTTCGGGCAGTGAGTCAGTGTAAATAAAGCCAAGCAAGGCCCTGAAAACTTTTGATTCCATATCTTCGATCTGTATGACGCTTGCCATTTTGCCCTCCTTCATGGGGCCAAAGAGCTCTGCCTTGAACACCGCAGACCGAGCCGCGAGCACGCACCTATGGGCAGCAAACTCTTCCTCGCCAACCTTGAATGTCACATCGGTGCCCTCCTTGGACAGAAGGAGGTTGCTGATATGCTCATGTATTCCTGAAGGTGGTACCATAATAAAGAGATCAACGGTGGTGGCAATCGCAATATCACATCGGATGGTGAAACAATCATCATTTAGATTATTTGATTTCTCAAGATCTTGTCTTTTTATGAAATTGTTGTAACCCCAAGATGTGCTTGGGCTGGAGAAGTCGTCTGGCTTGACTGCAAGAATATATGACGAATCTTGCTTCTCATGCTGGTTGACAAAACTAAAATCGAACTTCACCTTCAAAGTCCCTGTTACACTTCTGTCAACTAGGCGCAAAAAGAGAGATATGGAGTCGGTGCACTCTGGGCGGTCGCCATTAGGATAGTACTCGATGCGCCAACGATGGCCTCCCACCATGAAATCGAGTGAGACGATCCCCGTGCCAGTAGGTGTGGTGGCTTTTGTACGCGAGTAGTTGCTAACCACAAGCAGGTGGTAGCCACTCGCCGTGGGTACGTTGATGGCGTGGCCGACGGCCTTGCCGTCGCCCACGATAGACACACCGGCAAATGAGATGGCTATTGGGCAGAATGTAACAGAATCTGAATCTGATATGGGCTATGTGCCGAAGTGCCGAGTACTGTATAGCAGATTAGCACTCGCACTCAAGAGATTGAATTCGTAAGGACTATGATACGGCCGCCCGATTTTCACGATACCGGTAGGAATAGATGCAATTTCCAAAGCAATTGGTTCAAACTGCAGCTTTGAAAACCTCCAACAAGAAATCCTTCTCACGATCCAAGTATTATAGCAATCTTAACAGAGTTCTTCTCACGTAGTGCAAACAGAAACAGCGATCAGCCAACTAGTCCTTCGTCAGCACAGCAGCAAGAGTAACTCACCACTAAATCCAGTGCTTGGTTTGCCGGATGCATGCAGGCTCGACGCAACAACGTGCTAGCGCCGTCGGGGTCAGGCGGCAGCTAGGAATCGATCAACGATCCCGGCGGGTGGAAGCAAACTCTGAATAAACCGCTTGCCCTAATTCATGGTTGGCGGCAGCCCTGCATAGAGGTCCTATTCCCCGACCTAGGCGCCGAATACCCTTTTTTTAAGGGGGGCTGATGGGCGCCGGCGCGCCGGCCCAAATTTGGGCCGGTCGCTGCGCGGCCGTCCGATCTAGCAGGCAACAACCGTTCGATTCACCCCTAATCATCGTCTCCTTCCTAGTCTTCAGTTTCAGATCCATTCATCAATGCGGGATGTCTCTGCCCCGGCCACCGTGTGCGTGCGCCCCCGGCGAGGCGCAGCAGCACCCACGTCCTCCTCATCCACGCCGCCGCTCGTCGGAGCACTACCAGCTCGTCGCCACACCCTCCCTCATGCACCACCATTGTTGCGTCGCCGTTGCAGCTTGCAACCTTGCCGCCTATCGTCGTCGACTAGAAGCCTCGCGTTGCAGCTTGCAACCTTCACCATTGTAGCCTCGTCGTCGTTGGGTAGCAGCCTCGCCGTTGCAGCTTGCAACCTCGTCGTCATACCCTCGCCGTTGCAACCTCGCCGTCGTCGCCGTTGAAGCTCTTTTCAAGGCCGGTTGAAACATTCTACATTGTTGGTTGCAGCTTTGTGCTGTTGGCAGTGACCAGCTCTGACATCTGTCGTCGTGGATGAAGCTTTTTGCGACGCCGTTTGAAGCTTTTTTCTGTTGGCAGTGGCCAGCCCCGGCGTCCGTCGACCACTGGTTGAAGCATTTTGTCACACCTGTTGAAGCTTTTGAAGACCACGGTTGTAGCTTTTCGTTGTGGCAGTGATCGGCTCCAGCATCTGTCGTCGCTGGTTGAAGCTTCTACCACGCCGATTGTAGCTTTCTCAAAGGCAGGTTGCAACATTGGAGTTGTCTCTGGGTGCTCGCTGCTCCGGTGAGATTGCTCCCTGTAGCGACGGCTTGTAGTCGCCCTCAGCCACCGTCTGCCCCAAGCTCATAAGCCATGGCAGCCCTGACCTGTGAGCTCGCAGGCCATGGCCCCATGTCATATAGCAGCACGGAAGAAACCTTGAGGCGGAGCACTGTGAAAGAAGGAAGAGGATAAGGTTGGGATGTGAGGCGGAGCACAGTTGGATCGCGTTTTCATCCAACGCGCGTCGTGCGTCCAGCCGAATCACTCGGCTGTCGTACGCGCCAACGTTTACCTTTTCTTAGAGAACACATGGACTAGCCATGAAACACGCAACCCCCTGTCTCTTCCGCGCATGATTTAGTCCAGCACAAGTGCGGGGGAGGGGCCCCATAGTTTTTTTCGTTTCTTTTTGTTTGGGATTTATAAAAAATCCGAAAATTTTAAAAAGTTCTGAAAATTCAAAAAATGCTCAGGAATTTGAAAAAACAATGTTTGGGAAATAAAAAACAAATTTCCATGAATTCAAAAAATGTTTGTAATTTTGAAAAATGTCCACGAAGTCAAAAATTGTTTGCTGATCCAAAAAATGTTCATGATTTTGAAACAATATTCTTAAAATCGTAAAATGTTCATGACTTAGGAAAAATAGTGTATGCAAAAAATGTTGGAAACTTGAAAATGATTGCAAAAATTAAAAGAAAAAGGAAAAACAAAGGAAAAGGAAATGAAGAAGAGAGAAAAATAAAAAAAAATCCGGTTCAGGGAAGATTCTAGAACCTTCCAAAAATAGATAAAATAAATCAGAAAT